GCCAGCGCAACCCGAAATGGAGCCCGCTGCCGAGTGCCGTGCCACGCGGGCACCTCTGCGTTCCCGTCATTGCGTTTTTCTGTTTTTAACGCCGAGCGAATCCCTGGGCAGACTCCGCGCACCCGGCGGTGCAGCACCGAGCCGCGCTGCCGCCGAACCCCACAGCCGGCCGCGGCTCCCGCGGCAAGCCGCTCCCCGCGCCGCGACATGGCGGGCACCGGGCGGCTGGGAAGCGGCGGAGAGGCGAAGCTCCGCCCGCTCCTCTCGGAGCTCCGCGGGAGGCCGCGCCCAGCGGCGGCCGGAAGCGCGCAGCCCCTCGGGGGCGGGCGGGGAGCACCGCGTGCGGCCGGAGCCCCGGCGGCGTGAGCGGGGCGGTGGAGCCGCCTGCCGCCCTCGCGCCCTTTGTCTGGTGCGGCGGGGTGCCGCAGGGGCGGCCGTTGGCAGCGCGGGGCGGGTGGTGCGGAGCCGCCTCGGGGGTGAGGTGTGAAAACGCGCTCCTGCTTCAGCGTGGGGGTGGGCAAGGCGGGACAGCTGGGAGAGGCGCCGGTTTGCGCCTTAGGTATTGAATTGCGGCGGAGGGTTGTCGCACTGAACCCGCTAGCAGTCTCCGTGCCGGGTGCCAGAGCTTGCCCAGCTGTCCCCGTGCTTGCCGAGGCTGCAACCTGCGAGGTCTGAACTCGGGCTGGCAGCAGAAGGAACCGTGCCGCAGTGCCCACCCGTCGGAGCCCTGCGAGGGTGGTGCTGCTCTCTGTGCAGCCTGCTGTGCTGGCGGCGGGCTGTGCAGGGCCCCGCATCTCCCACCTGTGCGTTGCTGCCATCACGCTGCCGGCTGTGCTGTGCTGCAGATAGAAACCTTGTTATGGCTATTTTTTTTTTTTTTTTTTTTCCTAGAAGGCTTTTGGTACAGTCTGAGATTTTAGATCACTGTTGCTGGAAAACTCTTTAATGCAGGAGACAGAGCATGTCCTTCATGTGGAGGAGGCTGTGCTTAGCTCAGCAAGCTCCTGGGCAGAGGCCTGCATGGACCTGGGCAGCCCTTCTGCTCCCTCAGGCGTCTGCTGTGTTGTGTATTCTGCCGGTGGGACTTCAGTCCCAGCCATCCTCTTGGCGTAACTGGCCACAGTCTCATAGCTCAGCTGCAAACGGTGTGTTTTGAGATCTGCTCAAAAAAAGTAGGAAAGGGAGAAAGGTTGAGGAAACTGGGCATGTTTAGCTTGGAGAAGAGAAGGCTCTGGGGATACCTCATTGTGGCCTTCCAGTACTTGAAGGGAGCATATGGACAGGAGGGGGAATGGCTGTTTTGAGAGTGTTTAGTGATAGGACAAGAGGAAATTGTTTTAAACTGAGACGGGAGGCTTGGGTTGGATATTAGGAGGAAGTTTTTCACGCAGAGGGTGGTGACGCACTGGAACAGGTTGCTCAAGGAGGTTGTGGATGCCCATCCCTGGAGGCATTCAAGGCCAGGTTGGATGTGGCTCTGGGCAGCCTGGTCTGGTGGTTGGTGACCCTGCACATAGCAGGGGAGTTGCAACTAGATGGTCACTGTGGTCCTTTTCAACCCATGCCATTCTATGATTATGTGACACATGCAACTATGAGAATAATGCCATCTCTCCTTGCCATGATGCAGTGCAAATAGTTCAGTATTTCTAACAAAATGAGCTGGTGAGGTTGGGGGGGCAGAGATAAACCCCCAGAGCAGCGACTGTACAGCTGGCAGTGGAGAGCCCCAACAGAACTCATTTCAGGGCAGTCATGTGGGAATGAAGAGCTGCATGTTTCGTTGCTGTGACCAGATAAACTGTTCAAAAATAGGTCCTTTAAAAGCCACTGTGACTGTTGGCTTCTGTAAATTGCTGCAGTAGATTAAATCTCAGCCTATGAGCAGCAAGTATATTCACAGTTACTGGCTCTGTCCTTTTGCAGTGATGCCAGTTGCTTTGTATTTTACTTGCCTAGTATGTTATTCACAGTAGTGTTAATAGCACTGTTTGCAATATTAATAATTTAGGATTGCTGTAAATGTGGGCTTAACTGTGTGTGGGAAAATATGTGGAATGGTCCTCTCACAGCCAGCAGCATTCCACCTCTGAATGATCTTTCACAGTGCAGCCCATTTACCAGCATGCGGAGTGTGGTGAGGGAGCCCGGCCAGGCAGGTCCTGCTGCCATGCCCACAAGAGGGGCGCCGGCCCAGCAGCAGTGCAGCAGGAGGCATCCTGAGGTGCATGGCTGGTCTGCGGTGCCTGGAGCTGCTCTAAGGACATGTAAATGGCATGCAGGTGTCTCTGGCCTGCCTGGTAGTGGAGGAGGGAGTGAGGGTGAGCTTCGAGAAAAATGAGGACCCTTTCCCTGAAAATATATTTTTGTGCTTATAATGGCTTTCCCCCTAGTACCTCCACAAGAGATGAGAAACAGTTACTGAGATGATGCTGAGATGCTTTTTGTCCAAGCGCTCATGTTGTGCTTGTTGCCAGAGCCAAGGCCTTGCTAGTTGTGCTGATAAGCGTTGTCATGTCTCAACCCAGACTTTCTTTGGGCTGGAAAAAAATGCTCTGAACAGGAAGGCGAGAGGGAAGGTATCCCCTGGAAACTGCAGGGGGCACAGTGTCATTGCTGGAGGTATGCAGGGCCTGGATAATGAGATACTGCTAACTTAGCTTCCCTAATGAGAATCCGACTTGGGGTGCTGAATGCTGGAAAATGAAGTCCTGGATTTGGTAACTCACACCAGTGCTGGGCTGGCTTGGTGCTTTTGCCCAAGCTTTGAAAAAGCAATACCTGCTGGAGTACCTTTTTCACTTTTGGGAGCAGTTGGTCATTGAAGGAGCTCTGCTGCCCAGGGATTCCTTTGGCCTCACCTTGTGTAGCACAGGGCAGTGCAGCTGCAGGTGTGTGTGTGGCTACAGCATCGTGGCAGACCATGAAGCGGGGGTGGCCAGTGCAAACCAACAGTGTTACTAAATCAGCACTGTGCATTTCCTTCAGCTGCTGAACCTGGTGCTGAGCCAAGAGGCAGCTCCATGGGCAACAGTGTGAGCTGACAGTGAGGCCTGTCAAGAAACCCCATGTCACATCACAGAAAGGGCTGCTGTCACCCTGTAGCACAATATTTGTTCTGTGCTCATCAAAAGGAAAATGCGATGCAGGGGGATTTGCTGAATTCCAACATGAAGGATTTGAGGGGAGAGGTTCACTTCACCTTTTCAAAATGCTCAAATGCACTTCGCATTGACTACAAATTAAAAAAAAAAAAGGAAAAAGTTTATCGGAATACATTCTGCTAATAAACAATACTTTGAAATGTGTTATTTTGGAAAGTGAATATATTCCATGTTACTTTCGGTGTCTACTCTTATGTGCATCTGTGAGAAGCATTTCCTTCTCACCTGTTTTGGTGCAGCAATATGAGGAATTCGAACACGCTTTCAGTGTGTGAGTATAGGTACAGTCATTCCAATGGTATCCTGTTGTTTGTTATTTTCCCTGTAGAAATGCCTCATACAGCTGACATCACCAGCTCAGCAATCTTACAGTGCTGAATAATCGTAAACATGTTTGTCCTACTTATTCCCCTGGAGGATTTTTCTGCTTACAATATTTAAAGGAATATGTCCTTGCTGTGACATGGGTGTACTTCAGAAATACTTGAAGATCATACTAATTATCAAGTTCATAGTTTCAAAAATGAGTTTCCCACAGTTAAAACCAAAAATGTTTTGCTTATCGATAAAGAACACTGTCATTTGAAAATGTTAGAATTGTCCAAGCAAAAATATTTATTTATGGAAGGCATCATCTGATATTCAATACGTAGGAGTTAAGGGAATGTTTTGTCTTCAAACTGATGAATTAACTCTAGAAACGCTGGTTTCTTGGCATCTCTGTGAAGTGCAGCTGGCTGAATAACAAGTTTGACACTGCTTGAGAGCTTGCTTTGCTGTGCACCTGTGGTAGTGTTGGGTTATGTAAACCTTTCACTTTCAACTAATAATTGTCTGAAGGACTGAAGATGCAGATTTTTTAATAAAAATGATGTATATGAAAAGGGAAGTTAATGAGAGAAGGGTCGCTCCAAATTGTTAGTGACACTACAGGGATCACTTACTTGTTGTGTGGGGTTAATGTTTCGCCTTGGTACGAGTGTTGTTTGCAGCTTATCAGTCAAATGAATGTCTCAGTGTGCCCTGCTTTATTCAGGCACCTTCCTACAAAGCTGGTTCATTAAGGAAATTGATCAAATGATACCCAGAAGATACCAGTTGTGTCAGTACAGTCATTTTGATCACATATCCCGCTAGTACAATAAATGAGATTCTTCCATTTATCTTAGCCCTTCCAATAGAGAAGAACCCACCAACTGCTTTCCAGAAGTGGAGTTAATTGAGTCTGGATTTAAACTCGAAAGGCTCCCATGTGCCTGGGGAGTGGTTAGAGAAAGTACACAACGCCGATTTGTGCAGGTGAGTTGTGGCCTAGGGCTCGGTGGGAGGTCAGCCCTGATCAAACTCTGTGCCCTATGACATGGAGAAGTGCCTTACCTGCTCTGGCAGCAGTGTAGCCCTAAGAGTTGGAGCAGCTGCGCCAGGCAGAGACCTGAGGGGATTCTTTGTTCCACCTCCGCTCTGTGCTGTCAGCACCTTTCTGCAGCTGTGGCCAATCTCTGGTATTTCTGAGGAAAACCAAAGCAAACAATTCTGTTAATATGGCTTTTCCAGCTCCAGCGCTTTCTACAGATTTGTGTTTTGTCATCGATTATGAGCTCAACATGAAGCTCTTCTGCGATTGCTGTATTCTCATTGTGTGTCAGTCAGTGCTGTTACATCAAAGGATGGTGCAACCTTCTTCTTTGCTGGGTTGCTTACAAACTCCCCTTTTCTACCTGAACACTTGTTTTAAGGAAAGTGTGTAGGAACTCTGTAGCTGAAAGTAATCAGTGCTCCTCAGTCAAGTTAGGTTAAAGCTGACAGGAAGGTCACTGGGCTGGACACGTCTGCGGGCACACGGTGACTGTGTATCTCTGCTTCCTTAGGAAGCAAATTTGCAAATGACATCCATATCTTCTCCTAAGATTAGAAGCCAAAATATTACATCTGCGTGCGGGGGGAAATCCTTCCTTTACGATTCCTGTATTCAGCAGGAGAAAGCTTAAAAACAACACTTGGAAAAACAATTGCTGTATTAATGGAAGGCTGCAAAACTGATGAGCCTGGCCAGTAACTGTGGAAGAGCAGTGTTGGGAGCACGTTCTGGGTCAGCCAGGGCAGAGGCTCTGCAGCCCAGCCTGGCTGTGTGATGGTTCCTTGGCTCAGACTTTCACAACTTGTTTCCCAAATCTTTATCACTTTTGTGGAGCTGTCTGTAAGGAAGATGAGAGGTTTTTGAGAAGTGGACATCAAGACTGAACATAGTAGTGTTCTCAGGAATGCGTTGTACTGCAGCAAAATGAATTCCTTTCACTCAACATTTCCATTCGCGCCCTGTGCCACAAGCTTGCTTTCTGGAGCTCATTTGAACTGACCCTTCTGTTCTGAAAGAATGATTTCCTGAGAAACTGATTTTCAAAGTGGTCTTCTCTCCTTCCAGCATTATCTGTATTTCTGATTACTGTGTGAGCATTCCAAAACATCCTGTAGGACTGTGATCACTTAGCACAGCTTGTAGGAATAACCCCATCTTTATCACTTTCTGCAGCTCTTACTACCACATGCAAGCTATGCTGATCAAAATCCTTGTGCAGATCGTTTCCAAGTTGTTAAAAGAGAAATAGTCCCAGAAGTTTCACCCAGGAAAGTCTCTTTCAGATCCTTGCTCGTACTACTACTACATCTTACATTTTGGTGTTTTTCAATAAGGTAGGTTTGATGTAATTTGATGTAATGTATGCCTTGTTAACAGTGATAGTATTTTTTTTTTTTCTAATGTAAGAAACTTCAAGCATAAAAAATATATGGAAAAAAGAAGTATTTCTAAAAGTGCAGTGGAGAAACTTGGTACCTCAGAAATTAGTGTAACTGTTGCAGGACTTTAACTGAGCACCAGTAGGTCATACTGTGAGCATGGATTTGATTCCATGTCCATACATGTTTTCCACAAGTATGGTACAGCAAGGTGCCTATTCTAGGGAATAAACAATGACACGTGGTGAAAGAGGAGCAGGACTGCAGTCTGATTTCATCATTTGTTGTAGTGGAAATGCTGAGTCATGGCTTGAACCAGTGACTGAGCACCTGGTGGAAAGGCAGGGCCAACCCAAGGGAGCTCAGGTGCATGCAACTTCATTTAAGGGTTGGCAGTGGAGGCAAGGCTATCTTGCTGAAGATCACCGCCTGAAGGCCTTCTGAAGGTAAGCAGTTTTTCTTCCTTTGTTCCTGTGTCTATGGCTACTAAATTTGGGTTTGTTCTCATTTGCTGTAGCCTAGGATTGTGCTATTCCACTATTGCTGCTGTGCTTTCCATAGCATTACAGGTGTTGAAAGCACTGTGTAATGTTTACAGTAGTTGAATGATGTTCTATAGAACTGGACTCTATCCTGGGCATTGCTAGACGTCTCTGCATTTTTCTGGTCTTATTATTTAATAAAAAAGATCTTCTGTAGGTTATCACTGTTTTCATATTTGTAAAATAAGTCTAGTGGGAATGCTTGGTGCTCAAAGGTGGGGATGACCTAATGGGAACTGTGCTTTCAATCTGTGAAGTTCTGTATACCATAAAATCCTTTGGAAAGCAGGCTGCTGGCGTCTCTAAGTGTTACTTACTTTTCCCCTAATCTGTCTGTGTTCAGTCTGTGCTCTGTAAAATGGGAGTAATAATGCCATTTCCCATCTTCCATCCTAGAAGAACAACAGCGACAAATTAGTGAAGTGTTGTGATATGGCAGTAAATGCTCATAAAGAAAAGAGGGATTCCTTTTTTGATAGCAGAACTTAAACAGCACATAAAAAGAATGTCTTGGATTATACCTTGAGAAGGAAGAAAACAAAATGCTAAGCTGCTCATTAAATTAGCACTGTTTTCTCTGCACTGAATAATGTAGAGATCTTGTGGAAGAATGGTGTGTGACTGTGTAATGAGAGATCATATATAGAAATCTAATGAATATTTATGCTTTTAGAGGCAAATAAAAGTTGCACAGTTACTTAGTTCTATTCTTTTCCCAAATTAAATGTTGTTAGTCCACTAGTGTGAAATATTTTGTTTCAGGAAATTGCATAAAGGATTATTTATCAGGAAAACATTATGAAGAGCATCGTGTGCTGCTGTGTGTCCATTTCCACGTACTGCCCTCCCCGCCTGTTGCCACATCCATATCGTAAATCCTCTACATTGTTGCTCTCTAAGGAACTGTGCAACTGGTTCATTGTTCGTATGTCAGTTTGCATATGCAAATGACACGGTGCCATACATTTCAGCTGCAGAAAAAGCTGTTTCTATAATCAGGAAAACTAGCAATTAATGAGCTGGGAGTAGGAGCAGATACTGCTGTGGGCAGGAACAGCAGGCTTTTGTGCCCTCTATGACTTCCTCTGTATCCGCTTGGTTTTTAAAGCTGCCACGTTGCTGAGACAGCCCCTGGTTGTCTGCCTGGTTGATTCTGCCTTCCAAGGGCTCAGTGCTGTGTAAACATGCAATTGAAAGCTCATTGGCTCTAAAAATGAGCTTAAAGGTGGGGAGGCTTGATCTGAAAAAACATGTAAGAAAACAGCAAGTTTTTAGAGGTCTCGTTTCTTCAAGCAGTTCTGTTGTCCTACAGCTGAAAGAGGGGAAATAGAGCAGCAACAACTGAAGCAAACTTTCACCAGAGGTAAACATGTATGAGCTGGGAGGTGCTGTGTAAAGGAACATGAAGAGGAGATGGTGCCTGCTGAAGGCTTGCTTTGCCATTCCTTCTGCATATACTTCCATGTAGTCCTTGCATTCTGCCACCTTTATCTGATAGCAGCCTATTCTGGTACAAAGTAACATACTGTGCAAGTGCTTTTGGATTGTAGCATGGTATTTAAAAGGAAACACAGATGTTAGTGAACAATTCAGAGAGGAAATGAAGAGCATCTGGAGCCTTGAGTCTGGGCTGGAGCTCTGTTTGCAGTTGATTTAGTACTGCTGGGCCATTGCAGTCAGGTCTGGACTCTGCTTTTGAGTAGGTGCCCCAAGTATTCCCCAGCATAGCTGAGTGTGCTCTGCTCTGGGCACAGTGCTGTGCAAATTCTGATTTTGAGGGTTTGGGGAAAGGACAGCTGCATTTCTTTGATGTCAACTCCAATTGCAGCAGCCATAGCCGTGACTTTTACATCCCTTTCAGTTCTTCCCAACCTTTCGGCAATGGTGATGCCCAGAGCAGCTGTGTGCATTTACCCAAATTTAGCAAAGGGCTGTCACCCAGAGGGAGGGAGGCTAGGGACTCCTGCCTCCCCAAGGCTTTTGTGGTTCAATCACTTTTCTGAGCTCGGGTAAAGGTGGTAAATCTGCTCCTTTTATAGATTTAATGGAAAGGTTTGTGAGTGTCTGTAAAACAAACTGTTACACCACCTGTGGTGATAATAAATATTTTACGCTCTGCAGAAGTGAATTTGTCTTAACAAAGCTCTTGGTTACAGTAACCTGCGTGTTTCTGTTTAGCTCGTGCACGTCTGCTGTATCTGCACATCTGAACAGAGCTGCCAGAGCATTCCTGCCTTTATTCAGCTCCTCTCGCTATTTCCTGTGGGTGCGTTTGCTCAGCACCCCAGTACTGCTGTATGCGCTGCCCTTGGTGTCCTTGGTGAAACAGATTCAGTGTTACATATGTGCCAAGTCTCCCTTTGGATCTCTGTTTTATTATTTAAAGAAACAGTTTTTTATTTTGCAGCCTTCCATTGATTTATCAGTGTGTCCTGGAAATACAAAGTGAGTTGTCTTTTGCTGTCAGGGACGTAGTTCGTGTCTCCTAATAAGTAATATAGGCATTATCTGTGTTTAATGTAGAAACGCCCGCCCTTCCTTGAGTCTTGATGCTGTATTTTGCATGCTGTCTAGATCTAGGCAAACTTAAAAGCAGCCTAAAAGGCATTTGATGGGATCAGCCTGAAGGTCAGTTCTTTGTTGTCTTTGGAGCTTGATGTGAATAGTTCCATGGAAAGGGTAGAACCAGAGAGATGGGAAGGGACTTGGATTGTTTTCTTCAGACTTTTTTTTTTCCAGTGTATATTCAAAATGATAAAATGCTTCAGGAATGTTAACTGTAGAGACAGAAGTCGTCCCCCCTCCCGCCTTTTATCTTTTAATTATTTTTTATTTTTGGGATGTAGCAATTTCCTCTTTTTTTCTCCATTAGAAAGACATTTTATTCTGCTCTGGGGTATTGACCGTTCTAATCCTCAAAACATGCTGTTCAAACCTCCTGGAGGTTTCTGCCAATACAGCTCATTCAGGCTTCCAGGAGTGCAGGGAGAGGAAGGTATTGGAATACATGTAACACTTGTGGAGGCCAAAGGTATTGGAGGTTGAGGGAGGGGTAGGTCCACTGAGGGCCATTAAACATAATGGTCCAGATGCAATTGTGTTAGTGGAGACGTGGGCTCTAAATGCAGACTGCTTGGTGGAAGCAGGAGATTTTGAAGTGTTGCGTATTTGTGTTTGAAGATGCTTTTATTTAGTGTATGGCTGGTTTCTAAATACAACTCATATATAAATACTGCAAATGTATCGGTTGTTCTCCGTTCTCAAAAGACAGAAAAGAAAGGAAAGCGTGCCCAGCTGTTCCTCCCCTGTATGAAGCTTGGTCTGAATTATATGTAGTGGAGTATGAGAGCTCTGCTTTTAGCCTTCTAGACAGTGCTCTTCGTGAGTGACTGCTTCTGTTCCTTCTGGAAGTCCAGTACAGTTCTATTGTGATGAGTAGACCAAGCCTCTAATGCACAATAGGTGAAATTTAGATGGGCACAACTTTTGTACAGTCACACAGCTGAACTGAGTATTTCTGGCAGAACAAGTAAAGGGGTGTACATATGGGTTATGTGAGCTCCAGTGTTTAGAGGAAAAATGATGAGAAGAAAGAAGAAAAGCAAGCTGCTTATGGAAATCATTTTCCTGCTATCCTGGGTCATAAATAATTTGTGCCAAAACATGAAGAACTAAAAGTATTTCTTCAATACAGGTTTGACTTTTCCATTATTGGACCAGGCTGCTAAGTTTGAACAACTGCTGAGCGCACAGGTTATGTGTATACATATACATACGTATACAATGTGTATATGCATATATACAAAATGTATATGTATGTGTATATATATACACTTATAACTTATTTATATACAGCCTGTAACAATTAGCTGCACCATTCCCTGAGGTCTGATAGAATATCTGTCAACTCAGCTACAGACACAAGTCTGATCAGCCTTTAACATTTTACAAATGAATGAAGAAACTGCACTCATATACAAAGATTGAATTCCCTTATAAAACCCAATGACACCACTGACTCTACGTGAACGTGTGTTTCTTTATTTTAACCCATATTAATTGTCTTTTAAAGACACTGTGAGTTTTGATGGTGCCTTTGTGCCATCGTTCTCTTCATAATGTGAAAAATGCTTTCATGTTTCTGATAGGGAGATGATAATTTGCAATCTTGAAGAGATTGTCACATAAAGGAGACTGCGTGCGCTAAGCTGCATGTGCTGCGCAGATGAGGTAATGTCTGTGGTGCACACCAGATTAACCTGGTTGGAGCACAGAATACCATTTTAATGATGAATTAAAAAAGGTGTGTGTGTGTGTGAGGTATCGCTTTGGGCAGTGGTGAGCTCCTGCTCAGAGCAGGTTAAACGTGAGAGAAAGGGGCTGTGCTGCAGAAATGAACTGGAGAATTAATGCATTGTCAGAGGGAGTTCAGAGAAAAGGAGGATTGTCCCGAGTTGACGTATGGCTTAATGAGGGGCGGGAGAAATGGAGTGGAGGTGTAGAAGGGAAACAGATAAAAGTAATTCTAGTTTCCTCTTCCCATCCAAAAGCCAGGTGTTACGTATTTTCTTTGCCTCTGGAGTCTAATAAAAGACCTGTGGGAGTCGATGAAAATGTTTTTGTCTCTGTTCTATTTTTCCCCAGTAATAGAAATTTTGAGGGGAAAAATGAAACACCGTGGTAGTCCTTAAGGCATTTCTTTAGATGATGTAGATTGGAAATTATTTCCTTACAGGACCAAAGGTATAATCCCAGATCAGAGTTCAGCTTTTAAGCCAGTTTTGATCTATTTTCACAAACTAAGACTTAAGAAATTTAATTGCCAGATGGTTTGAGAGTCTACTTCCTATTGCACGTGCTAAGCTGGGCTGGAACGTACCCTTTTGAGAATAATTGAGGTGCAA